CTGTATGTACACATAGCCTTTCGCCTCTCAATGGCACTTGAGATGTTATGAAAACTGAGCGTTGCCATAGCCGAATCATAATGTATGTATGTCGTCATCATGAATATATGAATATATAATACATTCATGAGAAGCCTCTGTGACCTTACTGACTGACTGACTGACTGAGTTTAGTTTTACGCCACTTTTAACAATATTTCAGCAACATCACGGCGGGGAACACCAGAAATGGGCTTCACACATTGTACCCATGTGGGGATTCGAACCCGGGTCTTCGGCGTGACGAACCAACGTTTTAACCACTTGGCTACCCCACCGCCCCTTCTGTGACGTTAGGTGCACGATATGGTGGTGGTGGTGGTGGTGCTGAAGCTGGTTTTATAGTGCTAGCCCACTGAGATACCATGCCGCAGTGAAGCATGAATACCCCACTCAGACACATTATACTGACTCCAAGCCAACCAGTCCTTCTTGTACCCATTAATGCCGAGCGCCAGACAGGGACCAACAAGTACCAAATGTTAACGTCTTTTGGTATGACGCGGTCGGAGATCGAACCCGCGACCTTCCACTCTCCGGGCGGACGCTCTAACCACTACACCACGGAGGCGGTGCGTTGCCACAGCCGAATCATAATGTATGTATGCCGTCATCTTGAAGATATGAATATATAATACATTCAAGAGAAGTATCTGTGACCTTAGGTGCACGATATGGTGGTGGTGGTGGTGTGGCCCTGTGCATAGAGCTGAAGACACAAATCAGTTGAAGTTAATCAACGTGGAGCGCTGAGAGTCCTTAGATGGGTGTGTGTGTTAGTCACCGGAGAGTTTCAGTCCTGCCCCACAACGAAGCACATGTGATACATGTGGTCTAACCTTAGGCAAGTGAGTTTGTTCAAAATTGCCTCTGTTCACCCAGCAGAAAATGGGTACCCGGTGGGATAAGTCATCTGACGATTGCACTCAGCAATATTCCAGCTATATGGCGGCGGTCTGTAAATAATCGAGTCTGGACCGGACAATCCAGTGATCAACAGCATGAGCATCGATCTAGGCAGTTGGGCTACGATGACGTGTCAACCAAGTCAGCGAGCCTGATCGCCCGTTAGTCTCCTCTTACGATAAGCATGGGTTACTGAAGATCAATTCTAACCCGGATCTTCACGGGATACACACAGTCTCAACTTGAGGTCACTCTGCTGAAAATGTAAAACCATTGGCAAGGACTAAACCGTGCCATTACCTTCTATTTAGAAAACAGATTTCACTTCTGTGTTGCAATTCACATCAACAAGATATATCAAATAAAAAAACAACATATTTTTCATGTCGAGTTATTTTGGATGTTAGTTATTTTTTAATGAAACGTTTTTAATAAGATACAAACAAATGAAATCGGTGCATCATACAGTTTGCGACGCATTCGATTCTGTGCCCCGTTGGCAATCAGTCCTCCATATTGTAGTGTGGGTCAAAATGATACCGTTGAATTACAATCTACTGTAACTCCAAATTGGTTCATGATCAAACATTCATTTCAACGCAGAATGTAATGAAAACATCAGACCAGTGTGCGAAATAGTTTCCAAAATTTGCAAGCCAGACGGGCTAGCTATGCCTGAAAATTACTAGCCCAGAAACTTATATTCACTGGCCCGAAATTTGAATGTAGACACGGGTTTCGTCATTAAGCTGCTAATATGATGAACATTTGTATCAGGCCAAAATCTTGCATGATTTAAAAGTGTATTAAGTCGGAGAGAGTGATGTACATGTATTTACAAAATGACCCCTTGAAAATTCACTAGCCAGTCGGGCCAGTGACTGGAGATTTACTGGCCCGACTGGAGTTTTACTAGCCACGGGCTAACGGGCCAGTGGCTATTTCGAACACTGCATCAGACCAACTCTGGAAAAAGTTTCATAACGTTTGTCTCCAAAATGAAAAAACCCGTTACTTAACAAGCTATCATCATTTTGTTTTGATTTTCCGCGTGAAGGTTTACGAGGGTATAGTAACAGTAAAATGTTGCAGGAACACCCTCAAGGGCTGGAAGCACGTGCAATTGTGACGTCACATAACGCATAGCCAATCGGGACACCAGAATTGGGCTTCAAACATTGTACCCATGTGGGGGAATCGAACCCAGGTTTTCAACGTGGCGAGCGGACACTCCAACCACGGGGCTACCCCAGCGCCCCTGATGGCAACAGAAACTAGTATCAGTACAGCCACTTTTCCAAGAGGTGAGGTGAAATTGGGTTGAACGTCGTGTTTGAGAATATTTCGCTCATATGACGTGCATGCGTATGTATGTGTATGTGCGACTGCTTGTACTAGCCCAGACTGAAGCTGGTTTTATAGTGCTAGCTCACTGAGATACCATGCCGCAGTGAAGCATGAATACCCCACTCAGACACATTATACTGACTCCGAGCAGACCAGTCCTTGTTGTACCCATTAATGCCGAGCGCCAGGCAGGGACCAACAAGTACCATATTTTAACGTCTTTTGGTATGACGCGGTCAGGGATCGAACCCGTGACCTTCCGACCTCCGGGCGGACGCTCTAACCACTACACCACGGAGGCGGTCGCGTGGTGGTGTGAGGTATAGAACCTGATCTTCTCTGTTCATAAGTCGTCTACCCGTGAATGTCTTTAGTAACCCATGTTTGTCGTAAGAGGCGACTAATGGGATCGGGTGGTCAGGATCGTGTCTCAATTGCGTAGATCAATGCTCATGATGTTGATCACTGGCTATTCTGGTCCAGACTCGAGTATTTACAGACCGCCGCCATTAAGCTGGAATATTGCGAAGTGCGGCGTTAAACACGAAACCTATAGTTCGTTTGGCTCAAAAGCGGACCGATGAATTACAAGCTAACTCGAAGACTAACAAACGTAAAATACTCAATGAAACACTGATCGTAATCTAAACGTCAGACCAACTCTGTGAGGTTTTTTGCAGAATTTATGTCCTAAAAATAAAAAAGTTGTTTAACAAACTATCATTAAAATATTGACACAGTTCACTATTTGTTACGAGGGAGGAGTGCAGAGAAAGGGACAGCCAGGTGTTAGAGAAGCACGTGCACAAGTGCCGACAAAGTTATTGAATCATTAACCTGTGCTGTGCTATCTCCATCCTTTCTCGCACACCTGGCTGTCCCTTTCTCTGCACTCCTCCCTCGTAACAAATAGTGAACTGTGTCAAAATTTTAATGATACTTTGTTAAACAACTTTTTTTTGGTGGAGTCCGGAAAATTTTCAAATATCAGAAAGCTGTTGGGTATTACTAAATGATAAACATGTGTACTATTTATATTTATGTGGCAATTTTGTACAATGATAAAATTTGCAATTCATCGGTCCGTTTCTGACTCAAACGGACTGTACCATGAGTCAACTTATGTTACGTGTCTTAACGCGTTTCGTAACAAACATACATGGGAAAAGACGTGCTTACATCGAGATATTGGTTTCTCTATGATTCTGAAAGTTTATCCATCACGTTGATGACGGACTCAGGTTGAACCAGATTTAGACACTGACACAGTTGCAATATAAACGTTGCATTCTGTCTATAGCTTACCACTGCTTAAGTCAGTGAGTGAGTTAAGCTTAACGCCGCACTCAGCAATATTTCAGCTATATGGCGGCACTGCTAAGTCTTTGTGGATAACAAACATCACCTCCCCAGCTAATGAGTGACATTCGACAGCGAAACACTTACTCCAAGTTGTAAAAACCAAACACCGTCTCTACATCATAACTGCGACACGTCCACGTCGCCGCATACCCAGGGTGTCGTTACGACAGCTACGGTTTGGCCCAGGCGCCTGCCACCCAACACAAAAGCGCCACACACCCGGGCTACCACAATGGACATTGTTATTACATGCTGTGGAAGGCGAGGTCACCACGACCGTGGCCCGGCTTTCCCACACAACCATCCATAATACCTCTAGCAGATTTCTTCATCATTAATTGATCTGTAATACTGCCCGATTCCTCATGTGCTCTGCTCGGCCATTTCACAAAATCCCACAAGCGCTTTTCACAATGGCGGGAAGTCGGCAACAGTCGTCTGCTCGTCTAACATGTCGTCTGCTTTTAAAACTTGATGAGGCAGGTCTTTGTATAGGAACAGGTGTAATTACCACCTGAATTACTAAAATCCTTGGGGTGGCGGATTAAATAGGTTATCCCCCTGTCCCAATTAACTCAAGACCACGTGCAGCACATACCCTTTATCCATTATGGCGCTTGCACCAACTGTGGGGTCAAAGCAGTGTTTACTTACAGAAGCTGGGGAACTGTACGATAGATACTTTACGCTGGTTTGATTCCATTACATGCTGAAAATGACAACATAGCGCGCCCTTATTTGCCATGGAGCTGAAATGTGGTCAATCCGCCACACCCGACCCGCGCGTTCGCTCACCAGCGTTAAAATGGCGACTCTCTTGCTGGTGGTGTGTTACTATCAACGACAACGTTACAGCAGCCTGGCGCGCGACAAGCGACAAAAATATACATACAGTTTGATTTACAGTAAAGTATCATGACCACAGATTTCAGTCACACACGTTCACTAACAATGAGGTCATATAACAAGGTGTGTATTTATAATTATTATCACAACTGACTCGAATCGGGTGTTTTTGTATAATTGGATGATCAAACTGTGTCCATATTACATGCCCGTGTACTTTTAAGAAGAATGCATCGCTCTCGCCTCTCCACGACAGCAACAAAGAAAAGCAACATGGCAGCCGATCAGCCTCGTGCGTGGAGTGTCGTCTGCGCCCGGCGCATGACCTACTTGAAGAAGCGAAGTTCTCTCGCCGCTTCGTAGCCGGCTATTGAAATCGCTTTACTGAGCAGAGCTTTCCATATCGAAAGCCTGTGCTCTCTATCGACTAGGATAGCTAGCGTCACTGCAATGTGCCGTAGAGGGGGGTGGCAGTAATCTAGCTATGAACTGCATACTGGAAGGAATGTCGATCTCGGCGGCCATATTGAAAGGGGTTGTAGACGAGCGGGGAGGCTTTGATCTCAGACTTGGTCTTATTGAGAAGCAGATCGAGTTTGAAATGCTGGGGATTGTTTTGTGCGCAACACCAGATGCTTTAATTCTAGGGATTAATTGTTTGGTTTTTGGAATTTTTGAAAGGATGAGATTAGATTTTGCAATTACTTGACAAAAATGACAAGGTAGTCTTTCTAAGGTCTCTTCTTGGTTTATTGCCATTATTTGGACCGAGCCCAAACCTAGCGTGGCGACATCAAGAGGTAAGAACTCTTTCCTATCAAATTTTGTTCAGTTTTCTGTCCAGTTGTCTCGTTATGTCTCCATTTATCCGTATATAGAATAGGCTCTTTCGCCACTGTTGTCCTCCTGCCTACGTCACATGTTACTGTCACGTGACATTTCGCGCCAAATTTAACCACTCAACCTGCTATCGAGGATAATTGAACGGGATCACTGCTTTTGCTGAGGCACGCCATCTGTTCTGTTAGTTACAACATATTTCATTTTGAATTTTGTTACCAATGAAAAGTTTACATATTTAAAAGAGATCCAACCGTTGGCATTGCTTTATTGGGTGCACTCAGATCTATTTCACGGCGACTGCATGCGCCTTCAGCACACAGAAGTGAAGTAACACTGATCACATATTTTTACCATCAATGTCACGTGGTGAGACACGTGTGAGAGACTGGACACAGTAATGACATATAATAATAAAATACTTATTTATGGTAAGTAAAACAGTTTAAAAAAAAAAAAAAAAAATATGCTTATACAGTTATGGTAAGTATGAAATGAAATAACGGTACTCTACGAGCTATAAACATCGGAAAGCAACAGTGGGGGTGCTACCCAGCCCAGAGGCCTGACGGCACCCCTCCTCGCCCCCTCCCTCCAGCTCTTCCCCACATGGCTAGTCGCACACACTTCCCTCTTCCTCCTCCTTTCTCTCGCTCTCTCTCTCGCTCAACTGCCTCAATCTGTTGAAATCAATCCCCTCATTTGAAGTACACCACTTAAGGAAGCAAATTTCCTCTCCCCCGCTCTCTCTCTCGCCTATTGTGAAGCACACCACCTAACGAAACTAAGAACACTCCCCACCCTCATTCTCCCTCCCTCTCCACGTTACACTAACACCACCCTGAACTACAGGTTCCTTAGATCTCCACTACGTAAGTCTGAAGCCTATGTGAAACCACACACACACACCTAACCTGGAACTACCACATTGGCGGATCGGGATGGGGTGGGGGTGGGGTTTGAACCTCCCAACCCCTGAAAATGACTTAAGACCACATTGAAGTTAATGTTTTGCATTGGCGGAGCCGAGGAGGGGTTCAGTGGGTTTGAAACACCCACACACACACACACACTCTCTCTCTCTCTCTCTCTCTCACACTCTCTCTCTCTCTCTCTCTCTCTCTCTGTGGAAATTCCTGGATCCGCCCCTGTACCATCATGAATAACGCCAGTTTACTTATGGTATGATATATCAAGGTCAGGTAACTCTTACGTCCCGACGGACCAAACCTATAAACATCATGCGGATTGACAAGTGTCCCTATTAACAAATCATGAGAACCGAGTAATATTCTGTTTGGTATAAGGTTGTCTCGTAGGGACGTCTGGATTAACGAGGGTCCGTTGAGTATGAGCTGTATCCGTCTGGTGTGGAGCGGGTTTGTTGATACGGGGACATATTACACAGATGTGATGACATCGGGGGAATGCTTAGATCGTTTTTTATATTTGTTCAACGCCGCACTCTGCGCTATTATAGCTACACTACAGCGGTGTGTAGACCGTCCAGAGACACTACGTGTCTATCTATCTACACCACTAGGGTACGATGACACGCACGGCGCCAACCCACATCAACAGGTCTATTCTGTCCCCCACTACGACGGCAAGCTTAAGTTTCTGGGGTCCTTTATTCTCATCCATAATTCGCACCGTATTTAAAACGGATCATATCCAATTTTTTTTTTTTCCCCCCACCTCTCCCCCGTCATTAAAATAGATAAAAGACCCCCAAAATAAATAAAAAAATAAACAAATGAAAAGAAACAAAAACAAAATAAATATTTAAAAAATAACCCAACAAAACAATAAGAACAAACAGAAAAACAACAACACCCACCCACCCCAACACACACGTCCACCACCCCTCTCCAAATGCCAAACCTAACACATCAATAATAATACAAATAAACAAATGGTAATTATAAAAATTAACATAAATGAAATTAAGAAACAATAAATTCATTATGACAAGCAAAAACAACCACAACGTACCAAACGAAAACACATACGGGCTAGGGCAGGGTGAAAATTTTAACAATTGAAATTCTGCTTGAGATTTACTTTTTCAATTTACAATTTACTTTTCTACTTTTGACTGACGTAAGTTATTTAATGGTATATTTCATATATTACTAATACTGTTGAAAACCTCAGTGACACAGCACCCCACATTCACTTCTCTGCTACTAGGGGCGGTGAGGTAGCTTAGTGGTTAAAGCGTGTCACGCCGAAAACCTGGTTCGAATTCCCACATGGGTACAATGTGTGAAGCCCATTTCTAGTGTCCCCGGACGTGAGATAGCTGGAATATTGCTGAAACTCTCTCAAACACTCACTCACTCATTCTCTGCTAGTGGAACCACGCAAAACAGTTGTTGTACCGAAAACAAATTATGTGGCCTTGCTGAACAGAACGAGCGCTGGAATAGCTTAGTGGTCGCTGCCATGAGTCTGGGGTTCAATTCCCCTTGCGGCTACTTGTTTTCGAAGCTAAGTTGTGTGAGCCTTGGAGAAGCGGTGGAATAGCCTTGTGGTTAAAGCGTTCGCTCGTCACGCCGAAGACCCTGGTCGATCCCCACATGGTACAATGTGTGGAGCCCGTGTGGACCCCATTTGTGGTTTCCCCCGACGTAATGTTGCTGGAATATTGCTAAAAGTGGCGTAAAACCACACTCACTCACTCACTCCGAGCAGTGATATTGCTTGAATACTGCTTAAGGCGGCGTAAAACTATTTTCACTCTCTCCTTCTCTAAAAAACGCATGTTTAGAAACTTTGATAGAAAACTTCAGTTTGGAAGTGTTATTGTCTTGTTAATGCATTTAGAAAATATGGAGCAGTAAAAAAACTCGCTCTAAACGTATTTTTACATGTACACGTGTTCATTCGGACTGACTGCCCACCCGCGGTGGGGAGAGGGTGAAAACTAGCATGGATATTTTTCCCGTGAAGATCCGGGATAGAATAGGTCTTCAGCAACCCGTGTGCTAGCCATAAAAGGCGACTATGCTTGTCGTAAGAGGCGACTAACGGGATCGGGTGGTCTGTTTCGCTGACATGGTTGACACATGTCATCTGTTCCCAATTGCGCAGATCGATGCTCATGCTGTCGATCACTGGATTGTCTGGTCCAGACTCGATTATTTACAGACCCTCCGCCATATAGCTGGGATATTGCGGAATGCGGCGTAAAACTAAACTCACTCACTTTAAAAGACGATATAAACTACAACCTCTATATCCCAGTATCCTTTTTAAGACCGGAGGGGTGGATTGTGTGGGACTGTGGTGTTGTGTTTAAGACATCTAGGCTCACTGTTAAATGTAGGATGTCTATGGAACAAAACCTGACTGAAAACGCTTAATTTCCATCGGCTGACCGAGACCTATAATCGCCAGGGTAATGAGATTGGTTAACAAATGTGAAGAGTGAGTGAGTTTAGTTTTACGCCGCTTTTAGAAATGTTCCAGTAATATTACAGCAAGGGGATACAACAAATTGTCTCCACGCATTGTACCCATGGGGGAAATCGAACCCGGGCCTTGACGAGGGAACGCTTTAACCACTCGGGCACCCCACCCCCCTTTAACAAATGTAAGCGTTTAAACTTTCACTGACCACTGTATAAAGGGCTTAGAAAAACAATTCAAGACCAGCCCTTCCTCCACCAAACATTCCGTGCATGTGTCCTTGATGGACGAACCTATATACATTGTCAACTCGTTCGTCACAAGCAAAATGCATGTAGGCAGTGTAAAAGTTTTCTGAATGTTTAAAAAGATACAGTTTAATTGTTAAAATGTGTGAAATAATTAGTCAGATTATCGAGAAAGCTACAAGAATTAGGTTTAGTTTCAAAGCTACAGTTTTACTGGTTTCTTGTCGTGAAAATGTTACTTAGGCGGTCGCTACCTTCAAATACAAATCTCCAACATTGACAATATTTCACATGAGATTCATCATCTAATTAGGTCACTCTTGCATAAATTATTGAGATATGTCAATTAACAAAACATGTCGAATATTGTCTGAGGAGTACACAGGTTTGTTCTCCACCACCGAGATTTACCCCAGATAATTTGCATATGCGAGAAAACCGCAGTGTCGGGTCGTGTCGATGTAGCGTTGCGAGAGTCGGGAAGCACTGTTATAGGCAGACAACATGTTCGGAAGAAGAATACCACGTTTCCCTCAATTTGTAAACATATAACCACGCGGTTTCTATATTTAGCAGTCACATGACATACATCCAACTGAAGCTCCGCCCATGACAAGAGTTCGGCATTTACTAAGCTCAAGCCGGTTCGAGGCAGTCCTCGCGTGTTGAACGTTCTCCGGTTTAACGTCCGCGTACATGAGAGCGTATATTGTCGCAGTGGTTGAGGTTGGCGAAGGCTGGACGGTGGAATAAGATTTTATCTGTTCTCTTATCCTTGAACATGTTTTGAATGTGAAATACAACAATCTTTTAAATCAGTAAACAGTTAGCTTTCTGGAAGAATTTTTTGAATGGGGTAAAAAAAAGAAGAAAATAATATCCAATAAGCTAAAATAGTAGTTTAAGAAATGAATTGTTAACACTTGCTACATTTATCAAAATAAACAAAATAAAATATTAGTTTGCGGATATTAATGAAATAATATTTGGGATTGGAGATTCAAAAAGAATCGGCTGGATACAGCGCGTTACTTAGGCCGTTGCTCATGTTATCACCCACTGGTTTGCATGGCGCAGATTCGACTACAGCGGCGTAAAACATCATCCACTCTTAACCATACATGTGAAAGATTCAATATATTTTTCTAATAAATACTGTTTTTACCAAATTATTCAAATGTATGCCTGTATTGAATGTTGCAAGTACTATTAAATTGAAAAGACCCGTGAAGATCCGGGTTAAAATTCAGTAGCCCATGCTTGTCGTAAGAGGAGACTAACGGGACTGGGTGGTCAGGCTCGCTGACCTGGTTGACACATGTCGTCGTATCCCAGTTGCGATCGATGCTCATGCTGTTGATTACTGGATTGTCTGGCCCAGACTCGATTATTTACAGATTGCCGCCATTTTAGCTGGAATAATGCTGAATGCAGCACAAAACAACCAACCAACTGTCCAATGTTCGTCTGTGACACATGTCATCGGTTCCCAATTGCGCAAATCGATGCTCATGCTGTTGATCACTGGATTGTCTGGCCCAGACTCGATTATTTACAGCCCGCCGCCATATAGCTGGGATATTGCTCATTGCGGCGTAAAACTAAAACTCACTCACTCGTCTGTAGTAAATGAGTACGAGAATGATTACAGTTTAGTGCCACTTAAAAACAGTATTGTATTTGTGTTACTGACAGCCCAAGTGAGTGAGTATAGCTTTACACCGCTTTTATCAATATTCCAGCAGTATCACAGCGGTGGACACGTTGAACTTGGGTCTCGACAAAGGAACGAACGCTTTAACTTTTATCTCCCCCCCCCTATATACAAATATACGACGTTACATTTCCAGAGCCAAGGTTCTGTTGCGTTGATTGGTTCACGCTTCAGAATTTATCTTCAGTAACCCATGCTTGTCGTAAGAGGCGACTAACGGGATCGGGTGGTCAGGCTCGCAGTCTTGGTTGATACGTGTCATCGTATCCAAGTTGCGTAGGTTGATGCTCATGCTGTTGATCACAGGATTGTCTGGTCCAGACTCGAATATTTACAAACCGCCGCCATATATCTGGAATATTGCTGTGTGCAGCGTTAAACAAACAAACTGAACGCCTCCCCGCTCACAGCCCGCTGTCGTCGTCGAAGTCGCCGGAGATAGTTGCTGCATGCGGCGTTAAGCAACATTCACTCCCTCACTCACTGAGTGGTGGCGTTTGTTTCTTCTTTAGCGCTGAAGTGGTGGTTTAGCCTAGTGGTTCAAGTGTTGGCTCGTCACGCCGAAGACCCGGGTTCGAATCCCCACATGGGTACAATGTGTGAAGCCCATTTCTGGTGTCCCCCGCCGTGATGTTGCTGGAATATTGCTAAAAGCGGCGTAAAACCAAACTCAGTCAATCAGTCAGTCGATCTGAACGTAATCAAGTCTAGACCAGACATTCCAGTGACTGATATCGTGAGTATCGGTCCACGCATTAAGGCAAGACCATGTAAAGCAAGACCATGCTGGTGAAATGTATCCATATGTTTACTTCCTGGTTCTTGTGTTTCAGTTCCGACACCGTGATGTCTCGCATCGCCGGCCACACCTCGTATTGCCAGCTTCACCACTCAGATGTCTTCGGCTATACGTGGCAGCAAAAACAACTGAGGAAGTTCCGAATGTTCGTTGTTATGGAAACATAAGGTAATACCAAGCCTCCAGTACTAATCCTATATAATGAATGCGAAACATCTCACGTTTTGCATATACTGAGAGAATTTGCAGAAATGGGTCTTTGTTAGGAACGTTTCCCCTAAGCAAATGTACAGATCGCAATTTGTTTTAGAACTATTAAAACATGTTTTTCTTTTCTTCCGGATACGTCATAGAGTCGTATAGTTTAATATCATTATCAATTGATAGGTATAGGGTTCTGTTTCGTTCCCCGATCGACAAAATGCTTACACAGAATACTACTGTATTAAACAGCTAGAGTTAGTGAGTGAGTATGGTTTTACGCCGCTTTTAGCAACATTCCAGCAATATCAAGGCGGGGACGCCAGAAATGTGGGAATCGAATCCGGGTCTTCAGCCTGACGAGCGGGCGCTTTAACCACTAGGCTACCTCACCGCCCCGCTTCAGTTTGAGCCGCAATTTCTGTAGATATGCATATTGTATAACAGTGGTCAGGAGTGCTGTATTGAAATACGAGAAAATTATGTATTATTACTCGACCGTGGAATATACTGCAGTGTAATATTTTTGCGGCAATATTACACTAGTGTAATACCGCTAGACGTATGACGTCATAATGTGTCACAGTTCTGACGTCACAATGCTGATACCTCTGTCACAATGGCATTAGGCCTTGCTTGACTCGCGGAAAGCTCAGAGTCATCACACTGAAGGCAGTTTCTTTATGTTGGAGAGTAATAAACAGAATACTAAACTCGCTTCCGTGAAATACCATCTTTATTAAACTCGTAAAAGATTAGGTATCAAACTCGCTTTCGCTCGTTTGATACCAAATCATTAACTCGTTAACTGGTATGCAAGATCACTTGGGCTCCGGTATTACACGGAAGGTCGTTTAGTATCCTCCATTTATTACTCGCCCGTGGAAGATACTGCAGTGTAATATCTTTACTGCAATATTACACTAGTGTAATACCGCTAGACTCATGACGTCATAATGGTTACAGTTATGACGTCACAATGCTATTAACTCTGGCACAATGGTATTAGACCTTGCTTGACTCGCGGAAAGCTGAGAGTCATCACACTTCGTAGGCAGTTTCTATCAGTTTATGTTGGAGAGTAATAAACAGCAAGGAGTGCTGTATTGAAATACGAGAAAATTATGTATTATCAAACAAAGTTGTGTCGAACTTTGATGTGTCGAACTTACGATTGTCCCGAAGTTAATGCTTTATCCCTGCGTGATCCTTTTATTGACGGGGCGGTGGGGTTGCCTTGTGGTTAAAGCGTTAGCTCGTTACGCCGAAGGCCCGGGTTCGATTCCCAACATGGGTACAATGTGTGAAGCCCATTTCTGGTACCCCCGCCGCGATATTGCTGGAATATTGCTAAAAGCGGCGTAAAACCCAACCCACTCACTCTCTTCAATGACCATTTTGGTTGTGACGAACACCGGATAACTCGATGTATTTACATAGGTCCCTTTAACTTCGACACAACGGTGTTGTCTGCTGTATTTATACAAAGACACTTAGTTTTGTCGTACACCTTTGATACGGGCTTTGTCTATAGCCTAGTGGGGTAACCGAGAGGTTAAAGCGTTCGCTTGTCACGTCAGAGATCCGGATTCGATTCCCCACAAGGGTACAATGTGTGAAGCCCATTTCTGATGTATTATTGTTGGAATATTGTTGATATTGTTGGACTATTGTTGATATTGTTAGAATATTTCTAAAAGCGGCGTTAATCTAAACTAGACTCTCTCATGCAGTGTGTCGGTTGTTGGAGACATGAATCGTTAGAAATATCGTTCTTACCAGCGAACGAGTCTGTGTTCGTCATATCGTGTGACTGAATCCTGAAGTTCGAGATGTATGTACAAAATATACGATTCTTATAGAAGGAGGCGTTTTGGACCGTATGCTTAGTTCGAAATAAGCGTAAAATTCAAGATTGAGGAAATCCTTAAATGGGAGAAGTCTACTGCATTTAAACAATTGAAATCGTGACAGTGTCTGTTTTCTCGATGTATCCTGTACTATTTCTCGGTATCGGTCTTTTTTTTGTTGTTGTTGTTGTTTAACGCCGCACTCCAGCTATTCCAGCTATATGGCCGCGCCTATTAATAATCGAGTCTAGATCAGACAATCCAGTGATCAACAGCGTGAGCATCGATGTACGCAATGGGATACGATGACATGTGTCAACCAAGTCAGAGAGCCTGATCACCCGATCCCGTTAGTCGCCTCTTACGACACGCATGGGTTACTGAAGATCAGTACTAACCCGGATCTTCACGAGTTGTATCGGTGGTATAGGTCAGTGGTTAAAGCAGTTACTCAAGGCCCGGGTTCGATTCCCGAGACGGGTCCTCTCTCACTCACTCACCTCATGTCAGAAACAGGATAATTACTAAACCACGTGACAAATACACATCTACACCTACATATATTGCATGTGTATTATTAATTATTTCTTCAATATTCATTTTTAGCGATCCTCTGATGCATATGAATATGTTGGAGATTAATAGAAATTGCAATGTATCTGTGTTAGCCGTGTCATGTTTAAATCGGTATTTCTGAGGCAGTGGTCAGGAACGAGTCCATCAGTTGAACGTGCTGAGCGCTATCCGTCTCGCTTTGAGTATTTGCCGAACTGTTGATCCCCGTATGTAAATCGAAGCCATCGTTGACGCGTCAATCCCGAGTCTCGAGTTTCCTGATCAGTGGCAGTGGAACACACTAGTTACTTTGTGGGTAGTCATTTATGTTTGTGTCAAAGTTTCCTCGCAAGGCAGGGGGATTGTTTTGTTTTTCGTTGTATTTCGATAGCCGTATCTTTTGGAGGAAAACCCCCCAACGCAATGATGTTTTTATTACTTTTTGGATATTTAAAAAGGATGGTCACCTGACATTTTCACGTGGTGATTGGGTGATCAATTGATGCATTCACGTGGTGATTGGATGGTCAGTTGATACAGTCAATTGGTGATTGGATGGTCAGTCGATTCAGTCAAATGGTGATTGGATAGTCAGTTGATACATTCACATGGTGATTGGATAGTCAGTTGATACATTCACATGGTCATTGGATGGTCAGTTGATACATTCACACGGTGATTGGATGGTCAGTTGATACATTCACATGGTGATTGGATGGTCAGTTGATACATTCACATGGTCCATGGATAGTCAGTTGATACATTCACAAGGTCATTGGATGGTCAGTTGATACATTCACATGGTGATTGGATGGTCAGTTGATACATTCACATGGTCCATGGATAGTCAGTTGATACATTCACAAGGTCATTGGATGGTCAGTTGATACATTCACATGGTGATTGGATGGTCAGTTGATACAGTCAGATGGTCATTGGATGGTCAGTTGATACATTCACATGGTGATTGGATAGTCAGTTGATACATTCACATGGTGATTGGATAGTCAGTTGATACATTCACATGGTGATTGGATGGTCAGTTGATACATTCACATGGTGATTGGATAGTCAGTTGATACATTCACATGGTCATTGGATGGTCAGTTGATACATTCACATGGGGATTGGATGGTCAGTTGATACAGTCAGATGGTCATTGGATGGTCAGTTGATACATTCACATGGTCATTGGATGGTCAGTTGATACATTCACATGGTGATTTGATGGTCTGTTGATACATTCACATGGTGATTGGATGGTCAGTTGATACATTCAGGTGGCGATTGGATGGTCTGTTGATACATTCACACGTGGATTGGATAGTCAGTTGATACATTCAGGTGGCGATTGGATAGTCAGTTAATACAGTCAGATGGTGATTGGATGGTCAGTTGATACATTCACATGGTGATTGGATAGTCAGTTGATACAGTCAGATGGTCATTGGATGGTCAGTTGATACATTCACATGGTCATTGGATGGTCAGTTGATACATTCACATGGTGATTTGATGGTCTGTTGATACATTCACATGGTGATTGGATGGTCAGTTGATACATTCAGGTGGCGATTGGATGGTCAGTTGATACATTCACACGTGGATTGGATAGTCAGTTGATACATTCAGGTGGCGATTGGATAGTCAGTTAATACAGTCAGATGGTGATTGGATGGTCAGTTGATACATTCACATGGTGATTGGATAGTCAGTTGATACATTCACATGGTGATTGGATGGTCAGTTGATACATTCACATGGTCATTGGATAGTCAGTTGATACATTCACATGGTGATTGGATGGTCAGTTGATACAGTCACACGTGGATTGGATAGTCAGTTGATACAGTCAGATGGTGATTGGATGGTCTGTTGATACATTCACACGTGGATTGATTGGTCAGTTGATACATTCGTATGGGGATTAGAATTGTCAGTTAATACAGTGAAATTGTGATTGGGTAGGCAGTTGATACGGGGTGATAAGTTCATGCATTCACATGGGGATTGGGTGGTAATTAGATGCAGTGAAATTATGATTAGGTGATCAGTTAATATTATCTCATGGTGATTGGATGGTTAGTTGATCCAGGCGCGTGGTGATTGGATGGTCAGTTGATACAGGCGCGTGGTGATTGGATGGTCAGTTGATACAGTCACGTGGTGATTGGATGGTCAGTTGATACAGGCACGTGGTGATTTGATGGTATAGGTGTCACGCGCCGTGATATGCTGGAATATTGCCAAAAGCGGCGTAATATATGCTCACTCACTCTGGCGTTGCCCCCTTTATACCCAATATTTGTGAGACGTGTGGGGAAATAAAAACAATCCAGGCCCCCACGTACCACATGTTTCTGAAATTTATAGGGAATTCGAGGTAGACGAAGACCCGTATATATCCCATGTTTGTGGAGAATTCAGGACAGACGAAGTCCTCTGTATATCCAGTGTTTGTTGGGAGAGTGGAGAATTCAGGACAGACGAGGTCCTCTGTATATCCAATGTTTGTTGGGAGAGTGGAGAATTCAGGACGGACGAGGTCCTCTGTATATCCAG